CAGCGAATCAGTTTGTCTTGTTGTGACACACAAAAAGCTTTACAGTCTCATCTGCAGCAGCATTTGGTCTCCATGTGAGCAGCAATTAAAGGTCAATTAGTACGAAAAATGAAATCTTGGAATGAACTCCTTTAAGTGTTAAGTCTGAAACAAGACAGCCGTGGTCATGGTTTGCCGCTTATTTTGCTGCTCAGATGCTCTAAAAAAACACCCCTGCTATATCATCTTGGTCTTTTCCCATCCCCCATCTGTCCAAGTCCTTTCATTTATTCTTGTTCTACCTCTGTCTCTCTAAAGAATGCATCATATAAATTAATCACAAATAAGCACAGACCAACGAGTGCATCATATAAATTAATCACAAATAAGCACAGACCAACGAGTTCATCATATAAATTAATCACAAATAAGCACAGACCAAGGAGTTCATCATATAAATTAATCACAAATAAGCACAGACCAACGACAAAACTGTTCACTGTTACTGATAAACGGGCAGTCCCACCCAGGACAAACTGTTTTATTTAAGTAAGCATATTTACAGCATCTGTGACATAATCAGATCATACAAGTGCCGAAGAGGTTTTACAAGAGACTAAAACACAAAAAAAGGAAAAAAGATACGGACTAGAGATGTTTGATTCAAAAAGAAGGAGCAAACCATGTCAGAGCAGCTGCAAACCACTCATCATGACAAAAATGCTGAGAGAACAAACAGTTGAAAGCGTGGAACACAAGACAAAAGAAAAATGCCACACAAAAACATTGACTTGTCTGCCCTACTACGAAGGTGATAAGCACAGGACCAGAAAAAGAGTGACAAACCTTTAGCCGTGGAGAAGTATCCAACGTTCTTGCTGCTCTCTGCTGTGGTGGGCTTCCCTGTGTAGGCTGGGGTAGCTGTGGCTGTGACTGTGGCTGCGGTTGTTGTTGTTGTCGCTGCTGCTGCTGCTGTTGTTGTTGCTGCTGCTTCTGCTGCTGCTGAAGCATCACCTCAGGAACCAGCTGCTGGCTCTGCTGCTGTTGCTGCAGCTGAGACATTACAGGTGGATGAGGGCTCCAGTCGGTGGTCTGTCTCTCGGAAGGTTCTGGATGTCCAGAGGCAGGAGACATTTCCACAGCAGGCCTGGCAGAATGGAGAGATATAGGAACATACAGAGACAGAGAAGATAAATAAACGAACAAATATTCACAAGGGACAAATTCATGGAACATATGTTGACAGAGGATTGAGAGATTTATGAGGAGTCCACGGGAAAAACGGGCATAGTCACAAACTGGAAATTGTGAAGGTGCCAATTTTAAAAGCTTGTGGACTCATAACTTACATATTTGTTCGATTGGTGGTTTATTATGTTTGCTGAATGGGAAATCTAACAACAGTAATCAACCAACAGTTGAACAGAAATAGTTTTGAGTCAAGATCACGATTTTCAGTTTGTCTACAACAAATGACCACAACATGGTATGTTTTTTCTACAACAACTGACCACAATGTGTCTTGCCTGCCAGCAGAGTTAAAGAGCAGAGAGAGCTGGCTGTCAATGATGCTGTCCCCGTCTGTCTCCGTGTCCTTGCTGGAGTCCAGGGCCGCCTCTGAGCCAAACTGGGCATGTAGGTCGGGCCGGTAGGAGCCTTGAGGAGATAATAATATTAATAACAATAATAATAATAATCATAATAGATAGCATTTGTATAGCACAAATTCCTGCTGCACAGCGAGCTCTGTGCGTTTTATAATCTGGGATGAAAACTGATCAGTCCAAAATTTACTGAATTTTTCGCGGGCTTTACAGATTTGGAAAAATACACTTATTCACTTGTAGATTAGTACACTTAGTAGGATGACTTATCATTGAACGGACACTTTTATGGAAAATGACGGTGCTAATCAAAATTAAGGATTTCCGTAAATTTACGGAAAATTTCCATCTCTGTATATTATAACCCCAGCAGATCTGATAGCATTCTGAAACAATCTCAGCTTAATAAAGCATTAACATACTGACAGGAGTGGGAGAAGAAGATATGAGACAAAAAAAACAAAACAACAAGACCCATCCAAGGTGTGCGAAATGAAGAGACCATGGAGCGCATTTCAAACATGCCACTCAGAACTTGCAAAGGTCAGATATTAAACATTTCTGCTTCAAACTGTACTGCAATGACCCCCCCCCCCCCCCCTCCCTCCATTGCACCCTACCCCCACCCTTACTGCCTGCCTTCCCCCCTCCAGTGAAGCAAGGGAGAGAAGAGATGAGACTTTTCACACACACACACACACACACACACTCACACACACACACACACCAACACACATGAAGAGACTCACCCAAGGTGTAGGAGATAAGAGAGGCCATAGAGCGCGTCTCGGACATGCTGTCCAGCACTTCCTGGGACTGCACGCCGGGCGGAAGAAGGCGGCTACGCACATCCTGTAGGGCAGACGGGGGGCCCTGGCCACTTCTGGAGGGGTTGAAACAAGAATTACAGGCTTGTA